CTGCCGGCCGCACCGGGGGGCGCCCGTGTGTCAGGTGCCGCGATCCCGCCCGGCACACTGCGTCGCGAGGAGAGCGGCCGCCTCCGCCGAAGGAGTTCTGGCTGATGAATGGTCTAGGACCCATCTGGGGGCCCTGAGGAACGCGAATCGTTGTGTCTTTGCAGCTGAGCGCGTCCAGCCTTTCTCTGTCCTCCCCGTCGAAAACAGATGTCATAATGTTACTTGGCAGTTTAAAGGGCTCTGCGGGCCAGGCACTCAGTTAAGTCAGACACACTAACAAATAATCAGGAGTATTGTTTGGTTCAGTACTGCTTCTCTACCTATTATATTTCCAAAAAAAAAAAAAAAAGTATCCATGATGACAACTGGAACCTTCAAAGTTAACCCTGTTATGTCATTCAGGAGCTCTTAAAACTCCTTGCCACAGTGACTAAAACTTTTGTTGAACAGAGTATTGCTTCTACCACACTGACAGAAAGTGGAGTTATTTCCACTTTTCTTACAAGTCCAAGAAGAACATTAGCCACCCATCAGTACCGTCCTTGCTTATCCTTCAGTTCTCTAGAGCCTGCGAATATTGTCCTTGCTTATCCTTCAGTTCTCTACAGCTCGCGTGTTCAGCTGGTGACAGTCACCTTGGAGCTGCTTCTGATCTTAGCCTTGTTCTGTTGGAACAAAGATCTGAAATTAAACTCAAGTGGCCAAGTTCTTTAGTAACTCATTGTTTGTTGTACTGTGAGGAATGCAGCATGCTTACCACGTGGTAAATAGTTAAAACTGAGCTGTGAAAACAAACTAGCTTTGCATTGGACAAATAATCTCAAGCTTTCCAGACAAATCGGAATCAAAATGGCCCAGCTGACTTCTTTTTACAGGTCAGAGTCTAACTCAGATGTTTGCTGTTTCCATTTTGCCATCTTGCAGCTTGATTTTCTACCTCTTTTTTCATAGAAGAATTTGCACTGATTAATATATACTACAAAAGTCTAGCTTAAATTTCCAAGCAGAATGAAATTACTGATGTGTATAATAGCTGACTTGGAGGAAGGCCAATAGCATAAGGATGAACAGGTTGTAGTGATTACAATACAATATTCTGTAACCTTCAGGAACTGTAACTACGATTTAAATTTTGTCCGAATGTGAAGGAGAAATCCACTTCTATAAATTACAGCCCACTTTGGATTTAGTCTCCTGAGCTGTCTGCTCGTGATGATGGCTAGTACTTCAGTACTACCTCTGTGCTTACTCAGTTGTCCAAGCAAAACCATAGGGTTTCTGCAGATCAGATAAATAGCAAACAGATTATTAACAGAGATCAGTTTTCCAGTCCAGTTAGTTGTGCGGCAGCAATGTGAAAGGACTGCTTTACTCGTAAATCTAGAGGGTTAGATAGTCACTTTTGCTGCTACTGGTGCCAGAAGAAAAGTTTTTGATTTGAGTGACTTCAGATCCCACGTGCAGTCATGGAAGAGGTAACAATGAAAATCAAAACTTCAGTTACAATCAACTTTGTGATGCTTTTTGACAGCTTTTAGACTGGGACCAGGTCTTCACAGAGTGGTGTAATTTTTACTTGGATTGAGGGGACAATTAAGTTTTAAAAAACATTGAATGACATTTTGGAAGCAGTTGGTCCAGACCGTGACCATTTGTGACTCAGGAATGAAGGAGAAGTAGGGCAGTCGACACAGAGACAAGGGGAAGAAATCAAGGCTCTGGATTAGGTTACTGAAACAGTAAGGCTTTAAACACGAGGGTTCAGGCAGCTTCACAAGCTTCTAAATAATTAAAATTCTAAAT